GTATTCAAAGTTGCTAAAACTGAAGAAAAAATTACCAGGTGAATAAAATACGCAGTACCAATCAGCGACGTATCCAGCCGACAAAATATTCCTCCTGTACAAAATAACAGGTTCAATTATTGATACCTAGTCACATGATGTGTGTGTTTGTTTTTGACAGTCTGTTATATTTTGCTATGTGTATATGGATCGGTATTCCATTATAACTGACAACATGCTTTTGTCTGTCCACTAACTAAATAAACATGTATGACCTTGTTATCAGATGACATTACAACCAATCATGGTAAGATGACTGTCTATTGGATCATGCGTATTAGCCGTTTTCATATATACTTTGCATTGTACACTTTAATATAGTTCTTGTGTTCCCACGTTTCGTACTTACGTACCCTTCCACTCACACACTTGTGTGACGTTTATTTTCCTTGTCTGGAAAATACAAGTATCATCGTTAACCTGGTGGTCTTCTGATTTCCCTCTTTCCGCGTCAGGACTATTAACTACTCGACGACTACATAACAATTACACAGTCCAAGCTAGTCGAATTCCTGTCTCGTTAACTTCAATTGCGTTTGTGAATTCACAAATACAAATAGTAGCAAGTGAGTAAGAAGGAAGGAAAGACGGTTATCTACCAGGATTCTTGAACACGTGTACAAGAGTACAGCTCTCAGAGTTTCAGCATAATTTAATAGTGCTGTGGCTAGATACCTGTCTGACAAAAGACATCATTTTAACGCAGAAGAAACTTTTATGATGGTGAACAGAAAAAGCACTTCAAAACTACTTTGAATTGCTGAAGCTATGACTATCCAAGGAGTGAAACCTGAATTATATGTGCAAAAAGAGACTATTACTAACTTATTACTGCCTTGGTAAGCCTTAACTCTTATACCTTGACTTATCGAAATTCTATTTTATTTTTATGACGTGACTTGACAGCTGCATTAATCTACTTTTTTGCACTAATTCTATTAATAGCTTCGTTATACCTGACTTCTTTCATTCTGAAAAGTTTTTGCTTGTAAGGATTTGATTTGTTTTAGTCCTGATCGCGAATTGATGTAGGTCAGCTAGCCGCTGTAAAACAGAGAGTACTGGACAACCGTTTCACCCTAGTCCAGGACTCTTCAGCATTAAGGACCCACGATATCACCAGGACCTCTAGATTACAACGCCAAACCCGTTGACTATTCAACTACCTAGGCCATAATCCGGTGAATGCTGAATTCTAAATTCTGTCAGTTCGCGATTTTGGCGTGACAGCCGGGCAATGTCTCTGTGAGTACTTGTACTAAAACACCAGACGTGGTGGACCGCATTGGTCACTGAATTCCAGCTCAAGGGCCAGAATTGTCACCAGACTTGGCCTCGGAAAGCGCAGATCCTCGGTTCGATGCCTGATGAGGTTGTGACTCCGTACTGGTGAAGATTCCTAAAACAGAACGAAACTACTGTCCAGTATTCTCTCGTGATTTTGAATGATTTTTCAACCAAATTCAGTTCATGAGCAATCTTTAAACTAGTTCACACTCATTTTTTATGTAGTTGATTATTCATTTTGTATGCAGCTATTGAAAAGCCTATGGAATCAAATGATTTAATCTACTCCTACAAAAGTTGTTCTTATTGGATCATTATTCAAATTTATCAAGAGAACTAATTGTTAGGATAGGCAAACTCCTTTGTTAGCTGTGAAGTCATGATTAATACATGTACTGACATGATAACTTCATTGGACAGTTGTGATTCGTTTATGCATGGCTTATTTTCCTGAGGGAATACAACTAATCAGATTTGTTTGTTTATTTATAGCTTTGATTCCCGAAGCTTTTTAAATATGATAATACCATATATTTTGTCTAATTTTGATGTGGTTTTGTTCTCTGAGCTGGATGGTTAGTTTGCGAAGCTTTCATCGCCCTACTGGGTGACATCTTCAGCGCATACTTCAATTTGAAGTGAGCTTTTAGGTTTCTCCACGAGTTTATTAATCATTCCTCCTGGTGACCTTGGACGTGATTGGTTGTTTATGTGTGTTTTCACACCTTCTAGGTTACTTGTGTTGGAACTGATTGTTTCTGTGACTTGAACTTTGACCCTTTGTGTGTGAAGTTTCTTTCTTATTGGTTGATAAATTTTGTCTATCTCGATGTGTCTATTGATTGATGATTCACTGGAATGCCAAGCTTCTAAAAATTCTCTAGCATTCTTGTTATTTCCTTTGTCTAATATTTGAACGTTGTCCCAGTCGAATTGATGTCCGTGGTTGTCTGTGTGTAGTGAAATGAGGGAGTGTATATCATGTCTTTTGACGGCTAGCTTATGTTCGTGGATACGAAGACGAAGGGGACGTCCACTTTGGCCAATGTAGTGTTTTTCACAGTTGTTACAGTTTATTTTGTAGATGATGTTGGTTTTGTCTTCTTTTGCTGTTGAGTCTTTTGGTTGACATAGAATTGAGTGCAGCGACTTTGTTGGTTTGTGTACGACGTCAATTCCTAAAGGTTTGAAGAGTCTTGTAGTGATTTCTGAGATATTCTTTATATATGGTAAGGCGATTTTCTTTGTGTTTTCCTTGGTGGCTTTTGTTTTGGTAGGTTGGCTTGGGGGTATATGTCTCTTGATGAAATTCCGTGGATATCCATTCTTTTGGAAGACGTCCATGAGATACTTTTCTTCAATTTTTCTTAAGGTGGGAGTGCTGCAGTGAGTCCTTGCTCTCTTGAATAGTGTTTGTATGCAGTTCCTTTTGTGTGCTATTGGGTTGTTGCTGTTGTAATTCAGTATTTGGTCTGTGTGAGTTGATTTCCTATAAACTTGAGTTTCTAATTCTCCTGTAGTTGTTCGCCTGACTAAGACGTCCAAAAATGGTATTTTGTTCTCGGATTCCTCTTCTCTTGTGAATTTGATGTCGTTGAAGACGTTGTTTATTAAGTTGTGAGTTTTGTCTAATTCGTTTCTTTTGATTATTACAAATGTGTCGTCGACGTAGCGTATCCAAATCTTGGGTTTGATCTTTGGTAGAATTATGTTTTCGAGTCTTTGCATCACTGCTTCTGCAATCAAACCTGATATTGGCGATCCCATGGGTGTTCCTTTGACTTGTTCATATATTTGGCCGTTGAATTGGAAGTATGTTGTTAGGCATAGATTTATGCATTCCATCCAGCTTGTGTGTTGCATTTTTGATTGTTGTGGAAGTTGTTCGTCGTTGAAGGGTATTGAAGTTGTTGTAGTATTTTCCAGTCTGACTTTTGTGTCTGTCACAGTGTGAGAGATGAATTCAAGCAATCAGTTGGTCATAGTATCGTGTCCTGGAGGTGCATTCTAGTCAAGTTTAGACGAAGACTACAAATCAGAGTGCAAACACGCACACTGTAGCACTTTGATGCTGAAGAAAATGAAGGAAAAATACCTAATAACCTTCTTCAAAAAAGAATGGATATCCTCACAATTTCATAAAAGACTGTTTAAAATAGTCATAACACCAACAAGAAACCACCATCAAAGACTACAAGAAAATCCATATACAAAAAAAAATATCTCTGAAATAACAACTAAAATATTAATACCATTAAAAATAAATATATTTACACAAGCTAGCCCACAAAATCACTTCATTCGATATTGTGTAAACCGAAAGATCAAAAAGAAAAAGAAAGTAAAATTAATACCATTTACAAAATAAATTTTATGAAATATGAAAGACATTACATCGGTCAAAGTGGGCGTCCCCTTCGAATCCAAATCCAAGAACACAAATCGGCTATGAAAAGACATGATATATATTCTTACATATCACTCACTGCCTGTAGATAATTATGTACACCAATTTGATGATTGGGATAATGTCGAAATTTTAAACAGAGGAAACACCAAAAGTGCAGTCAGGGAATTCCTAGAAGCCTGGTATTCAAGTGAATCAGCCAGCGATTAACAAACATATTAATGTGTAGACCAAATCAAAGTATCCACTACAGTCCTACAGAGGTCAATCACGAGCCTGAATAGCTGCTCACTGGTAACGTCTCTGACTGCATCACTGCACTGGTGACGCGGGTTAGATTCTCAGAAGGGATATGAATACCTTCAAGGATGCAGATACGCTTTTTGACTGGTGAGTGCCAACTAGCACGAAACCTAGATCGGGGTATCCTGTGCCCATTTCCTCCAACCATCTAATATTATCATAGACCAAATTTATCAACCAATAAAAAAGAAATCACAATACGAGAAATTTCAAATAAAAAATGATCAATACAGACGTAAATCAACTACCAGTCACAAAGATGGTTGCCAGGAGACATAATTATATCCTACATGGAGAGTTCAAATAAGTTCATTTCACATACTAAAACCTTCTCTGAAGATGTTGTCTAAAAGAGGGGGACGGCGAAAGCTTCACAATCAAACCAACTAGCTCAGAGAACACAACTGATTCAAAATCGTTCTCCAACTGAGCTACAAATCTTCTCTACTACGAAATCCCTAAGGATTCTCTATCTAATTGTGTCAATAATATAAAATACGTGGAATTTGATGCGATAAACGTCAGACAAACCTCATCAAAGAGAAATCAAGTTAATCAGAAGAAATGAACACCGTAGAGCATCTCTCCAACCATCGAGAAATCAAGTTGAACTAGCGAAGCTTGAAAAATCATTAGCCATACATAGTCTTCATGCAATTCTATAGAATCAGGCCACAAAATTGATTTTCACAATATTGAAATTATCATCCAGAAAAACTTCAGAAATCAAAAGAACGTTTAATATCATCAGAAGCACTTCATATCACCAAATGGAGTCCAAATTGTCTGAATAGGGATGATGAACTAAAACAGAATTCGACCTGGTTACAACAAAAAAGCACACTCCCTCCATGAAATGACAAAGTCAACACGAATGTGATAAGTAATTTCATTATGTAGGCACATGCTGCTCTTACAATTTTACACACAATCTACACCCGGTTTTGTTATCTTTACCAATTGGCCAATTCGATAACGCAAAAGTGTCGCCATACTGAGGAACGATGATTAAGTGGCTGTATATATAAGCTGAGATTTTATAAATTCTGGTTTAAGATAATCACTACTTTTCTTTCGCGCAAGCAGATTCATGCATGCCAAGTAATCCACAATGGGAAACTTACGGAATCCTTCGAAGTGAAACGCGAGTAAGACAAGCTGGCTGGCCGGCTGCCTACTGTCTCTAATGATTTTCTTGATTCCGATAGACTGGGTAATGCAACAAACAGAGGTCCAGGCAATGAGGAAACAGGCATAAAATGGACTCGCACAAAAAACTTGGCGGGTCTGGACTTCGCCGATAACATGTATATATCTGATTTCCCACACACTGGAAGATTTTCAAGTGAAAAGCAACAAGTTGGCAGAAGAAGCATCAAAGATAAGACTCCAAGTAAACACAGAGAAAACAGAGGTGATGAAGATTCCTGGCCAATACCAACAGCAACAACAACAGACAACCATCAGCCAGCGTAAATGGGAGGAACCTGAAAGAAACAACCTCCTTCACCTACCTACCTGGGAAGCATCATTTCAACTACAGGCAGACAGAACTGACGAGGATATCAAAACATCGAGGATCGGAAAAGCAAGACAAGCTTTCATTACTCTTAAGTCTGTGTGGAAGTCAGCAGCACTCAGTATCAAAAATGAGGTCCGGATTTTCAACTCCAGTGTGAAGTCAGTCAGTGCTATTATACGGATCAGAGACTTGGCGCGTCATAAAGAGCATCTCAAACAAACTACAAACCTTCATTAACAGTTGTCTTCGCTCAATACTCCGCTCAAGATCAGATGACCGGCTGGCCAGAAAAAAATCAGCAACAGGGAGGGATCTCTGGTTATGAGCGAACCAACACAGCAGGAACCAATTGTGTAAGAAATATGCAGGAAGAAATTCAGGTGGATTGTGTCCATACACTGAGAAAACTAAGCACCAAGTGACATCATACACCAGGCCATCGCTCGAGTGGAGCCCGAACGAAAAGCGGAGAGTTGGTCGTCAGTGCAAGGGTGACTTGGAGGAGGTCATATGAAGAAGAGATGAAATTATGCGGACAGATGTGGAGGAAGGAGAAAATTCTAGCAGAGAACCGAAAGCAATGGAGACGCGCGGTTGAAGCCCTATGTTCCTCTAGGAATTAAAGGAAATAATAATAATAATCACTATTTTGATAAAGTTATTGGCAGCGCTAAATAGCGAAACGTCAGTAAAAAAAGCAGCAATATCGTTTTGTTTTTCATTCATTGGGAAATACAAAACAGACCTTTAATATGATGAATCATTATATGAAGAAATCTATTTAGGAAGGGATAATGGGATTTAAATACAAAACTATTTTAGAAAAATAAGACAATTAATTACAAACATTTCTAAAGAAAATATTACATAAATAAACAAAATATTATAATAGAGGGATGAAAAAACACAACAATAGAAAACAAAAAAAACAAAACAAGATAAAACAAAATTTTTAGAAAAAATCTGTTTAGTTCATTAATTTAGGAAAAAATTTCCAACCTGAAGCACTTTCTACACTTTCCACAGGGACTCTGAAACCATCTACACGGATTTTTTCTGGTAAAGTGATGTTAGGCATCACCCAAGCAACTTTACGCCATTCACCATTTGGTTTTTCTTGAATAGCGGCTACTTTGAAAAAATGTGTAGGTACTGCAACATTATTCTCACCGATTACTTCATAAGTTACAATCTTTTTCCCGTTTATTTTTCTGAAAAAAAGGAACAATTATAAAATAAGGGTTTTAGAAAAAAAACAACTATCATCTATGAACTTATAATTTACGGTGGGCCTATCAAAACTTTGTAATGATTATTTTACTTTAATCTATGGACCGACGTGAAGAATCTAGAAGATCTGGATTTCGCGCGTGGATGACTTATGTTTAATGTCACACAAAATCGAAGACTTACAAGCGAAAACCGACCGACAAACTGGTCGAAGAAGCAGCCGGCGAAGACAGGATTCCAGGTGAACATAGACAAGACGAAGGTTATGGAAATAACCAACCAACCAACAACGACAACAATAGCAGCAACATTCAGTGCCAATCATCATCAAAGGGAGGGATTTGAAAGAGGTTAATTCATTCACTTATCTTATCTAGGGAGCATTGTCTCAACTACAGACGGCCAGAACGGACGAGGATGTCGAATCGAGCGAGAATCGGGAAGGCGAGAAACACATTCATCAACCAACTGAAACCAATCTGGAAACCTTAGTCACTCAGCATCAACAACAAAATTCGGTTGGATTTTCTATACAAACAACGTTGAGTCAGTTCTCCTATCCGGATCAGAAACTTGGCGGGTCACAAAGGATATGTCCAACAGCCTGTTGCAGACATTTGTCAACCAACAACTGTCTTCGCTGGCTCTATACTGAACACCAGATGGCCGGGCCGGAAAGAATCACCAACAAGAAACTATGAGAACAAACAAAACAAGAACCAATCGCCAACCAACAAATATGCAGGAGAAAGTGGAGATGGATCGGACACTCGCTGAGGAGGCAGGCCGCTGGGTGACATCGCGCGCGCGTCAGGCCATTACTCGAGTGGAACCAGGCCGAAAGGGAAGCGGCGGCGAGTGGGACGTCAGTACAAGGGTCACATGGAGGAGAGAGTATGGACTAACATGGATGCATGTGAAAAGTACAGCAGAAGACAGAATCAAGTGGAGACGTGCAGTTGAAGCCCTATGTTCCACTAGGAACCCAAGGGAACAATAACAATAATAATCTATGGATCACTAGATGAACTCGAACATATTTCTGATTAACTTTCAACAAAATGCTGTACAGTTCTTGGGATGAATGAAGAAACAGTACTGTGTCACATGATGATATATTTTAGATACTGTAGATTCTGTACAAAGAGGATTTCTGTACTATGAGCTAACATATGTAGTTTGAAATAAAACTTTATTATTATTATTTCAGATTAGATTTAATTTAATTTTGATTACAGCTTGATTCCACACTGTATTTTTGGTACAAGTATGGAATTTTCAGCGTGGATATCGGTAGCCCAAATTTCGCAGGCCGACCATAGATATCAGGTGTGCGCCGGCGTGGGCTCGAACCCCGGACCATTTGCATGTTCGGCGAGAGTCCTAACCACTGTGCCACCGACGCACGGAGTGATATCAGTTAGAGAACCATTGGAAAGCTAGCTGGGAGTACTAGACAGCTGTTTCGTCAGCCTAGCTTGGGACTCATCGGTAGTACGCACCCATTGCCAGGGTTCGAACTCAGAACCCTCCGGTTACAAGGCAAGCTCGTATACCACTCAACCACTGAGACCCGATTCAATAGTCAGCCCATGAATTCCAAATTTTAACCGATTCGTGATTTTAGCACAACTGGCACCAACCAATGATGTGATCGGCGAGAACTCCATCCTCACTTCCTATTGGATGGACCTCAGTGGTTACGACTTCTCAATCGAACTCCAGAAAAACTTCAGTGGGAAGTCACAGACGAGCATCAGATTAATTTTGAAGAGTTTATGTATACGAGCTTGCCTTGTAACTGGAATGTCGTGGGTTTGAAATCCAGTGGGTGCATACTGCCGACGAGCCTCAAACTAGGCTGACGAAATAACTTTCCGATACTTCCTGGTTTTCAATGGTTCTCTAGCAGATATCAATCCACGGTCTAGCCTGAAACAAATAGAATCTTTAAAACAGAAAATAATTGAGCAAAGAATATCCTTTTCGATAAATTCCTCTTCCAGCTCTACAATTATATATGCATGTTTATATACATAGAATATTTTATTTTTTTTATTTTTTTATTTTTGATTACAGCTTGATTCCACACTGTATTTTTGGGACGAGTGTGGAATTTTCAGCGTGGATATCGGTAGCCCAAAATTCGCAGGCCGACCATAGATATCACGTGTGCGTCGGCGTGGGCTCGAACCCCGGATCATGCGCATGGTCGGCGAGAGTCCTAACCACTGTGCCACCGAGCGCACAATATTAGTGTTTTTTAAATAACATCGATTTGTAAAGTAAGATCACAATGGAATCACCATAGTTCACTAAAGATACATAAATAATAATAAAGATAATAATAGCAAATAGAATATCAACTAAAATTAGGAAAATTCCACAAAAATTGAGGATCATTCAAACTTAGATGCCCAAGGTAAGGATAATGTCTGAACTAGCTTCTTTCTGACGTATAAGTTAGGCTTCTTAATATGGATTCCAACGGCTTCAGCAATATTTAGTAAACGAACTGTTAAGGCGAAGTAAGGATTGGTCGGTATGGGGTAAATGACTTTGAAGGACAGATTAACATCAATCTGGTGTTCTATATCCACAAGATGAGATAGAATAGCGCTACAAACTAATTATTGAAAATTTATTATTATTATTATCATAACTGATTTTTATGTGACTAAAACAAGAATTATTGTTATTATTGTTTCCTCTAATTCCTAGAGGAACATAGGGCTTCAGCTGTACGTCTCTATCGCGTTCGGTTTTCAGTCAATATCTTCACCTGGCTCCACGTCTGCCCCCATGCTTTCCCCTCCTCTTCACATCACCTCCTGCATGTCAACCTCGCACTGACAACCAACTCTCCGCTTCTCGTTCGGGTTCCACTCGAGCGATGGCCTGGTGTATGATGTCACTTGGTGCTTAGTTTTCTCAGTGTATGGACACAATCCACCTGAATTTCTTCCTGCATATTTCTTACACAATTGGTTCCTGCTGTGTTGGTTCGCTCATAACCAGAGATCCCTCCCTGTTGCTGATTTTTTTCTGGCCAGCCGGCCATCTGATCTTGAGCGGAGTACTGAGCGAAGACGGTTGTTGATGAAGAAAGTATAACAACCACGGAGTGACAATGCACTAATGACTTTAAACGCATAACATTCGTTAGATTATAGAATCTGCAGTTATTATAATGCGACTATAAACTCTTTGCACAAAATGAAGTGCATGTTTCAAGTCGATCTCGTTTTTAAGTACTGGCTGGATAAATGGCTTGATTGCATGCAGCAAGGAATAACGAAGCAGAGAAAAAGAAAGAATTAACCATGATGCTGTTATAAAAAAAAGGGAAGGCTGTTAATTTCGTTTCAAAGTGAACTATCATTCTCTTTTTGTAATGAAATCAACTAACCACACCAGTATTACATTAAATCATTTAATTAAGAATATAGTACTTACTGTGGAAGAAATAATGGTCCAGTAATTACAACTGTATTGTGTGATTTCCTGGCTATTGCACGTATATACTTTTCTAAACTATTCCAACCATGTCGATTGAAACCACGACCGACCTGAAGGTTAAGGGAAATAACGTAACAGTATTAATGAACAGTATTCAACTTAATGCCATCTTTCCGCAGACCTCATTGCATACTATTTGAATAACAGAAGGAGAATGCTCAGGAAGGCTTCGTATGCTTTTGAAAGTGAGTGGGCGGTTGTTACTTCCCGGCTGCCCACACGATGGAAGTTGATTGATCCTTCAGGTACTTGAAATAGAAAGAGGGTTAGTGTTGCGTGACCACAGAGCCCAATGGACAACTGCTTGAGGTCGATCACACACGGCCTGTATGAACTGGCTTTTAGGTTTGTTCTGTATTAGTTAACTTACCGCCGGTTACGGACTACCGTAGAGTAAGTCGGGATCTAATCCCCTCTCTCCGGAGTGGAGAGACAGTATAGCTGGCTGGCATGCTGGTCATCTGAGGGAAACACCTTACTGTTATTACATCCCTGTTCCCCAGCAGTACGACTTCGCCCACAGACTCCCAGCATAGTGTAAGAAGGATTTTTACACAATGCCGGTAACTGTTTTTAGTCTAATCGCTATCCTAACAACCTTATTGGCAAGGTAGGACCTGCAAGAACATTGGTTCCAGCCAGTGCAGCTTGTTGGGTCATCGCGATGTGCAAGCCCGACCACCACGTCATGGTACCAGCTATCGGTCGAGGATACATTCTGAGAATCAGGAGAAGCAACACTTAAAGAAAAGGATGTGGGGGAAATATATAAGGGGAGAGAAAATGGTTATGTTTAACAAAAAATTCAAAGAAAATACTTTCATCTACATTATATATTATTCTGCATCAGTCAGTCTGTCTGTCTGTCTGTTTTCGACATAGAACTTTGCACAAATGTGCGGCAATTCAAGTCGCCACATTCCGTGTAGCACGCGAAGCAAGAGAAGAAAGTAAAAGAAAAGCATAATAGAGACAGTAAACAGAGGTGTGAGACAAAGGAGTAATAACGAAGCACAAAACAGTTTCATTGGAGATCGCAAGTCACAAGGAGTGGATGCATCTGCACCAGCCATTGAGAACGATTTTGAGCCATGTCACCAATTGTTTCCAACCATAGATTTTTACCGTCCCGAGGACCCCAACCAGGAAGTCTACACCTTCCTACGTGGCTTAGACCAACTGTTGTGGATTTCATTGACTGGTGCCAAGTTTTTGTTTGGCCGCCGCTAGCTTTTTTCCAGCCTGACCCTATATCCGCTAACATTGCTCGTCGAGGGAGGCGATGGCTTGGCATACGTATCAATCATCTCAGTCTTTGTAACTTCACGACTTCGTCGATTGATTTCCCCTGTTTACCTAAAACTCGACGCCTAACTTCAATGTTGCTCACCTTATTATGCCACTTTACACGGGAAAGAGAACGCAGGCACCTTTGATCAAAGACAGCTAGTCTTTTCATGTCTTCCACTCTCAGTGGCCAGGTCTCACAACCATAAAGGAGGACGGTGCGCACTGATGAGCAGTACACCCGCCCTTTGATCGATAGTCGAACATCTCGTCTACGACAGAGTCGGCGTAAACTGGCAAATGCGAAACGAGCCCCTTGTATTCGTGCTGAGATTTCGTCAGAGATCAACCCGTTGGCGTTGGCTGATGGTACTTCCCAAATAAGTGAAGCGGTCAACGTGCTCTACCACTACACTTCCTATTTTTAAACTAGGCGTCGATGTAGTCCAGTCCTGTAACATCATCTTGCATTTGGCGGGAGCGAATCGCATGCCAAACATTCGTAGATTGCGACTCAAGGTGTTTAGAAGACTCTGCATTTTGTCAGCGCCTTCGCCTAGAAGGACTATATCGTCTGCATATTCCAAGTCAACGAGATTATTCCCTGGTAGCAAGTCAATCCCTGAGTCGCTGAAGTCACTTAGGGTTAAGTCCATTAACACATCTATGATGAAGTTGAATAGCAAAGGGGATAATGGGCATCCTTGACGGACACCACTAGTCGTCACCAGTTCAGATGACAGCTCGCCGTAAGCCCTCACCTGGCTGTATGAGTACGAGTAGAGTGCCTTAATCAGTACAATATATTTTCTCGGAATTCCCTTTACAGCCAAGCATCTCCAGAGAACTTCCCGATCGACAGAGTCGAATGCTGCCTTTAGGTCAAGAAATATAATGACTGTTGGACGCCGGTAGAAATGACTATGTTCTAGAATCTGTCGGAGGGTGAAGATATGATCAATACACCCTCTTCCTGGTCTAAAGCCTGCATCAGTAGTTCAATGGTAGGATGTTCACCGACTAGGTACACGAGAGGTCCACTGGGTTTCGAACCCAGTGGTTGCATACTGCTGATGATTCCCAAACTAGGGTTAAACAGCACTGCCTGGTGGTTTTCAGTGGTTCTGTGACTGATATCAATCCGTGGTCAAACTCGTATAAATATCTTAGAACAAGACGTATTGCTCACTATCAGATAAAAAGTGGATTTTACTGTGTTAGAATACCCGTTTTATTCTCTTATTAGTATACTCGTCGAGGTATTCTTTGGGGGAGTTGTTGCCGAGCTGTGGTTTATTGGTCTAAGCGCTTAACTTTTAACCAGTGAGTCAATGATCTGAAACACGCTGCACCTACAAAGATTTAGGCAACCAGGTAGCTAATTTCTTTCCTATTTACCCCGTCTTTATTTCTTTCGTGTTAAATTTATACTACTTATGAGTAGTAAGCAGTATTGGTTATATTTTGTTACTTCATAGCGGTAACTTAATTCGTTATTGAAATTTAACTCACTTCATTTGACTTTCTCATAGTTAAACATTATATTCTGCATATGCATTAATTATATACCCTCCTCTGTTGAACACTGTTTCACCTGAATCCCTTATATTCTGTGGCTGGCATTTGTTCATTGTTTAGTCTTACTGTAGATCGCTTTTGACACAGCTTTGCTGTTTTTCTTATTGACACACACTGGTTGTGCATTTTATGGTAATCAGACAAAGACATCTCACGACTTGAGGTTTGAATATTATGTCTCATTATTTTATGTATAATACAGTGCCGTAAACTAGATGAATCCTGTGTATTTTTTTTTGGCATTTTACGCGTCATTCAACGTGTGATTTAATTAGGTCAATTGAATTATCGCCCCGGACTTCATGAAAGAAATCTACACAGTAAGTCGCAAGTAGCATTCGCTAGGCTGTTAAACACAATAGATGTGTGGTACATATAGCAAACTGCATGAAAATGCAAGTAAGTTTTAATTAACATCTCATCCTGAAATTTTGTAAGCGTTGTTAGAAAACTTAGTTACCCGGAACAGACTTTTCAGATATCAGGTTGTGAGCCACATTTATTGTGTGAGGAGCTGATGATACTACCCAGATGTTTAAGATGAAGTGGTCGAGACAACATTCGACCTCGCACCCCTACAGAAGGAAGTCATATGCTTAAGCCGATGAAGCACACCTCTACAAAATGCTGTCCACTAGGTTACATGTTGGGGAAGAGCCGTCAATGACATCCCATTTACAGTCTATATTGTAATCTGACCAGCATATTCAAATTGCAGTAAAGAATACAGCCTTCAGAAAATATAAGAAACCAAAACACCTACATATCATCTTAAGCTATAAATATTCTTTACCCTTTTTTATATTCGTAATTAGCTGACGGCTAAATGACAACGGCACGTGCCAGGTGATTCACAACGTAAAACTCAGAGGAGCATTCGAATTGGATACAGGAATAAGACGAGACTGCCTACTATCACCGATGATATTTATAACTGTGGTGGACTGGATTATGCATCAGACTGTGAGAGGAACGAGAAGACAGGAATACACCGAACTGACAAGAAGATCTGGATTTCAAGGATAAATCATTTTTAATGCCACACAAACTCGAATATATACAGGTGAAAAGAACCACCAAACTGGCTGAAGAGGTTGACAGCAAACACAGGACTTCAGGTGAACATAGAAAAGACGGAGGTGATGAAAGTAACCAACCAAACAACCAGCAACAACAACAACAATCAATCAACCAATCACCATCAACGGAATTTGAAAGAGGTAACCTCCTTCACTTATTTGGGCATCATCGTTTCAAATAAAAGCGGAACACATGAAGATGTCTAAGCCACAATAGGCAAGGCAGAGCAGACTTTCATCACTCTGGAATCAGTGTGGAAATCTTCCACAATCAGCATAAAGAACACGATTAGGATATTCAGCACTGATGTTAAGTCAGTCAGTTCTTCCTATATATGGGTCGAAAAACTTGTTGCATCACAAAACGCATTTTAAACACCCCATAGTAGATTTTTATCAACAGCTGCGCCTTTCTCTGGTGTAAATGAATTTGAACACTGAACACTGGTTCATTGAGCCTGATCGCCATTGGCGGGTAACTCGAAGGCGCGGATGATTCAATCGTGTACAAGTTGGAAGAAGACGAAAGAATACGAATAGAAGTACAATACATTCCTTGTGAAACATTTGTTCAGAGACTTTGTAATGATATCAAATTTAACTGTAGAAGAATATAATTTCTAATTAGTCCTTGTGTTTTGGAGTTAAAGTCAATAATCGTTCTTAGTAATTATCGATTTGGAGCGTCTTCGCAAATAATAGAAACTTAAGGTTAAGTACCTTGACATCTAGTTCTGTAGTGAAAATCAAATGGTCAGAAAGAATTGGCCTCCTCTTCGTCACTGAGTCCTTCGCTCTGCTATTCAATATTCCTGTAGAGAACATCACACACAGAATATGCTACCTAGAAAATCTTGTCATCAATAGTACACGCCACAGTAGTACTATGAAAGGTTCGCTCACTGTACATGCTTATTTTACTAAAGAAAACCTCAGGTTTGCATGGATCTATAGAAGTTTGCACAGAAGTAGAGTTCACAATTTGTTACACTTCATATTAGTGCACAAGGGTAGAGACAAAATAAATCCGATACAATTATAATGTGAACAGAAATGTACAGAAGGAAGAATAAATTATGTGGATGAAACTAATAATGAGGATTTCATAGATTTAGGCGAGTAAAAAGAGTAAATACATCTTCACCCTTGAAAACAAAGCTTGAATCACATCACACCGACAGTCACCACCAGCCATTTGTTTATACATGAAGCTACAGAGTATGGTAATAAAATGAATATAAATCAGTTTGCCAATGTAGATTCATCCGGACCAGACTACCGGGTAATCTCATGTGTTATGTATGCCTAGTCATCGCCTTCTTCGACCGACGGGCAATGTTAGCTGATATAGGGTCAGACTAGAAAAGAGCCAGTGGTGGTCAAACCAAAACATTACTTCATCAGTCAATGGAATCCACAACAGTTAGTTTAAGCCAATCACGTAGGAAGATGTAGACTTCTTGATTGGGGTCCTCGGGATGGTAGACACCACAGCTAGAGACAATTAGTGATCATCGTTCTCAATGGCTGGAGCAGATGCATCCATTCCTTGTGACTTATAATACCCAATGAAACCATATTGTTCTTCGTTATAACTATTCCTTTTGTCTCATATCCCTGTCTACTGTCTCTATTATGCATTTCTTCTCTTGATTTGTGTGCTACATGAAGTGTAGCGACTTGAACTGGTGCACATCGGTGCAAAGTTCTATGTTGAAAACAGACAGACCGGGTTGCCTAGGCGAAGTGAGGTTATAATCACGGGTTCACTGAAAAAAAGTCAAGGTTTGAGAGGTTTCAAATAATCTTCATTACAGCCATACTTCTTTGACTTTATGTAGTAGATGGAGAATATTGCTTGTGTTCAGCCGATAGCTGCTAACTTAATGTGGTGGGTGACCAGGATTGCATATAGCAATGACCCAACGAGTTATATTCTCTGGAACCAATAGTCCTCTACATGTTCTACCATTACAGAAAGACTGTTTGCATAGTGGCTAGACTAAAAGCAATTACTACAATAGAGTAACTCGTTTACTCTATGTTTGGGTGGGAGGGTATGTGGGCGAGATTGTGCTGCTAGGGAATAGGGGTGTAACAACAAAAAGGTTTTTCCTTCAGATGACTGGCAAGCCAGCTATGCTGCCTCTCTGTTCTGTGAAAGGATGACGGGAAGGTAGAAGAGGTCAGCTCCAAAAACTGTACATCTTCACTTGCGTTGAGGTGGTCCGTAGCCGGCGATAACATTTCAATATGGGCACAACTCCAAAAACCAAATCAAACAGGTCGTGTATGGTGACTGGACTCAAAACGTTGCCTTCTGAACCTTTACGTCACTCAACGCTAATGCTCCTTATGTTCACTTGTACACCATGTGGCTTCCTACTGGTATTCATTCTGAATATCCATGCATAAATGAAACGAAGTACTTTCTTCTTAGAACATGAACAATTAAAAAAAATAAAACATTTCAACAGTATTTACCTGAGGTGCAATATTACTCAATATAAAGGTTTGACTCATAGCTGTATGACTAAGACGATGATTTCCTGCAGCGGCTAAATGACCACGATCATATCCAGAGTGTGAATAATCATCATTTGTAGAACGAAACATTTTAGCCTCACCCAAATCTTCATAAAAATCGAATTCATAACTGTGTTGAGGGTTTATATACAATTTGGAAAATAAGGCAAAAAAAAGTCGTTAAATATTCACAAAATATAAAATAATAATAGTAATAGTGTGGGGAGGGGGGAGGAGGAGGGAGTGGAGATTTCTAGCCCAAGTGGATGGATGCGTTTTGACGTGATTTTGTTTCCTGAGCAAGCTGTATTTCATTGATGCAAGCAATCGACTTCCAACCAAGTGGGTCACGAGTTCAAACTCTGTTCTACCATCCACCGAAGTCTTAGTAGCATGCATAGTATCACTAGCTATCTCACACAACAGATTGTGATTCATTCCCAACTTCATGTAATCGTAAGTGGTTGTTCAGTAAAATTTCTTTTTTTTTCATGTGTTTCCTATGCTAGATGGTTTAACTGTGAGGCTTTCATAGCCTTTTTAGATAATATCTTCAGCGCAGACTTCAGTATGAAGTGAGTTAATTTAAATTCTCCATAAATGACACAATTGTCTGCCTACTATGATAGATGATCTTCTTGATTGTGCTGGACTAAATCATGGGGCAAACAGTGGGAGTTAGAACACAGGCATGCGTTGGATCGACAAAAACATGCTAGAAGATTTAGACTCCACAGATGGTTTATCTCTAATGTCATACAAACTTGAAGATTTCCCCTTGAAAACCAACAAATTTGAAGAGGACTTCAAGGTGAACATGGAGGAGACAGAGGTGATGAAAATGTTCACCTAACAATAACAACAGCAACAACAACCATCAACCATAATCAATGGAAAAAACCTAAAGGAATTCGTCCCTTTCATTTATCTGGTGCCCAGCCTAGGCATCATCGTCTGAGCTACAGATGGCGGCACGAGTGGAGATATCAAAGTCAGCCATGACTGTTCTGAAATAAGTGTCGAAATCCACATCACTCAGCAGAAGGAACACGATCCGAATTTACAACAACAACGTCAAATCAATGTTACCATATGGTTCACGGAGTGGAACAGGTGTGAGTTTGATATTAGATGACTGGAGGCAATCGGCCACAAGAAGCCTTGCTCCTAGGTTTTCTGCTAGTTGGCACCCACCAGTCAGCAAGGCGTATCTGCAACCTTGAGGGAACTCATGTATCTCCTGAGATTCGAACCTGTGTCACCCAGTGCCACAGTCAGAGACGTTACTACTGAGCTATTCGGGCTTTGAGCCCGGCTGACTGACTGACTGCAGAACTGGGTGACGCGGGTTCAAATCTCAGAAGGGACATGAGTCCCAAGGTTGCAGATGCGCCTTGCTGACTGGTGAGTGTCAACTAGCAGGAAACCTAGGTCCAAGGCTTCCTTCCAAATGCCTCCAGCCATCTAATATCAACAATCTAAAGTGCACCATGATGGCGAGCCACCTAGAATAGTGGCCACATTGCAAAACCTGCCTGGTAGAATTCAGTCTACACCAAAGAAAGAACTAGACACATCACACTAATTACTAGTGTCCAATCAAAGTAAATTCAAGTTTAAAACGAAAGACTTAAAGCTGTATGCACATGAAACAGGTATATGGAATGTTACACAACCAAATGACTTCCTATTGTACTACCTGTTGATGTTGAGAATGCTGGGAAAATACATCGCACTGATCAAGGCACTCTACACGAACTCATGCAGCCAGGTGAAAGCCTACAACTGTGATGACAATCAGTGGTGTCAATCAGGGGGGGGGTGTCCACTGTCCCCATTTCTGTTTAATTTCACCATAGATTTACTAATGGACTTAGCCCTCACTGACTTCAGCAACTCAGGGATTGACTTGTTACCAGGGAATAATCTTGTTGACTTAGAATATACAGATGACATAGCCCTGTTCCTAGGTGGAGACGCTGACAAAATGCAGAGTCTTCTGAACACCTTGATCTGAGCAGCAATCTTCGAATGTTTGGCATGCAATTCGCTTCCGTCAAATGTAGGATAGTGCTATAGGCCTGGACTACATTGACTCCTAGCTTAGAAATAGGGAGTGAAGTGGTTGGTAGAGCGTGCTCACCACTTCACTTGTTTGGGCAGTTGCATCAGCCAGTGCCAGAGGGTTGGTCGCTGACGAAATCTCAACACGGATACAGAAGGCTCGTTTTGCATATGGCCAGTTTATGCCATCTCTGGCTTAGTAAACGTGATACCCGGCTGTCGACCAAAGGGCATGTGTACTGCTCAACAATTCGCTCTGTCCTCCTTTATGGCTGGCTGTGAGAGATTGGCATTGAAAATGGAAGACATGAAAAGGCCACCTAGCTGTCTTTAACCATAGGTGTCTGCGCTCTATCTCCCGTGTTAGGTGGTATAATAAAGGGAGCAATATTGAGGTTAGGCATCGAGTGTTAGGTAAGGAGGAGGGAATCAATCAACGAGGCTGTGAAGTTATACTGATTGAGATGGCTGAAACAAATGTTCCGCATGCGTAGCCATCGCCTTGCTCGATGTTAATTGACATAGGATCAGGTTGGAAAAGAGTAAGTGGTGGTAAATCCAAAAGATGACTTTATCAGTTAATGAATTCTGCAAGTTAGTTTAGGCCAACCACGTAGGGAGGTGTAGACTGGCCCGACTGGATGAGGTCCACGGGATGGTAAAAACCAATCAAGGCTGGAGATAAATGATGACATGGCTCAAAATCGATGTCAATAGCTGGCGCAGATGCACCCACTCTTGTGATTTGTAATATCCAATAAAATTGTATTGTTCTTCTATATTACTATATTACTTGTGTTTATTATCTCTCTTTTTACTCTCTTATCTTGCTTGTGATAGATGGAGTGTGGCAATTTGAAATGATACACATCTCCGTTGAAACCAGTCAGTTGGTCAGTCGCCTGTTGGGATGATAAATCATCGACCTATATGTGAAATGGTAACAGGGCACAATTAAAAGTATCGCTTAAAATGGCATGGAGGATTTCATCATGAGCTGACATCAGTTAGAGAACCATCGAAAACCACCATTGGAGTACTAGACAGCTGTTTCATCCTAGTTTGGGAATCATCGACAGTACGCATCCACTGCCAGGGTTCGAATCCAGGACCTTCTGGTTACAAGGCGAGCTCGTAGACCATTGAGCTACTGGGACCCGATCCAATGGTCCTTGAATTCTAATTTCTGCCAATTCACGACATAGCGCGACCAATTCGAAATGTCTTCTTCGATGAGTTACTGCCTCATCTTCGACCTGCTGTACCCTACTGGTCACGGCTTCCCATTAGGACCCACGTTAGCTGCCTGAACAGGGCCATTCGAACCTCGGTGAGTGCGTACTGATGAAGAATCCCAAACTAGGACGAAACAGCTGTCCAGTACTCCCTGTTGGTTCTCCAGTGGTTCTCTAATTGATTTTTAGCTCATGATGAAATTCTCCATGCAATCAAACAAAATCCCAATACCTGAAAATTCATCTGATGCTCACTAGTGACTGGGCCTATTCAGAGGTTCTAGTGAGAAGCCGTGACCAGAAGGGTACAGCAGGTCGAAGATGAGGCAGTAACTCATCGAAGAAGACATTGCGAATTGGTCGCGCTACGTTGTGAATTGGCAGAAGTTAGAATTCAAGGACCATTGGATCGGGTCCCAGTAGCTCAATGGTCTACGAGCTCGCCTTGTAACCAGAAGGTCCTGGATTCGAACCCTGGCAGTGGATGCGTACTGTCGATGATTCCCAAACTAGGATGAAACGGCTGTCTAGTACTCCAATGGTGGTTTTCGATGGTTCTCTAACTAATATCAATCCGTGATCAACTCGTAAAAATAATAATATTATAATAATATGAAACAAACCAACAAACAAAACAAAAACAAACCGATCTACTCCAGCCCTGTTAATCTCCTCTTGATTCAATTTAGCAGGATTCATATGCTCAACTACCCAGTAGGGTATTCGATTACGACGATCATATGCACAGATATAACCTTCAAAAATACGTAAATGACTTGGTACTGGTACACCCAGTGTATGAACTGCTTCATTATTTATTACAGTGTTTGGAATGTCCACAACAGGAGGATAAAGTATTTCAGCTGCATTTACAGACTTTGGAAACAAAGAATGATTTGTAAACTTTTTTTCTTGAATGAGATAATGTGCTGTTATCGTTGAACCGATCGTAATGTAAACACCAGCTTTTAAAATTTCAGATTTACTCCAATAATGATGTAACCGGGTTAGAAGGCGATACATGTCAGTATGTACAGTGAACTAGGGACTTAATAAAACAAAAACAAAAAAACAAATAAACTATTAGATGAAAAGCACCAATAAAGATCAATTCACTCTCATTAATGCTACAGAGTTAAGGGGAAAACTCATCATATAAATATGGCTTTGAAGGACTTTCATATGGGGCTGGATGTCCAGAATTCACTAGATGTTCTGTTATCGAACTGTATACCCCTCTGCGTTCTCCCTTTACTATCCATACTGGATAGCTAGCCTAGAAAACAACTCTTTATCATCAACTATCGACGACCTCCATCTCTACAAGAGATACATCGATGATACTTTTATTATTTGTGTGATGAGAATTGTGATCTAAAAAAACCCTACTTCAAATCTTCACTAACGCCCACCCAAACATCGACTTCACCCTGGAAGTTGAGGCCAACTCAATGTTTCATTTTCTCGAAGTTCAACTGTACAAAGGAATGCAGACAACTCGCTAAGAAGATCCCTCGACTAAAAGTCCACATGGAACAGACAGTTTACCAACTTTAAAAGTTGTGTGCCTTTCCTCGAGGATCCGGAAGATTTGCACTGAAGAGTCAATCGATGAAGAATTACAAAATCTACGGGGGACCTCCCACTCAGATTCATAGACAAGAATCTAAAACCAAGAAAAACACCTGAAAGGGTCCAATTCGCCCCCCAAAACATTCTGATATTGAACCTCGAATTTAAAAGTGATACCGAAACAGAAATTCCCCGAAGACGGCTTTCGAAGTCTCCCAGTAAAACACTTCGCCGCAAGCCTACGAATAACATTCCAGTGAAAGAAACTACTGACCCAACATGTGAAAGACAAGCTGTCGCATTGGGCCACTTCAACATGCATATACAAGTTCACTTGCTCGTGTGGAGTTGAGTACATTGGCCGTAACATGCGCCGGCTTGTAAAACGCGCTCGGGAGCACTATCCAGCATGGTTACCAAAGAGAGAACGCAGAGGGGTATATAGATCGATAACAGAACATCTGGTGAATTTCGGACATCCAGCCCCATATGGAAAGTCCTTCAAAGTCCTTTACTACTGACATGGTAACCTTAGTGGACAGTTTGATTTGTGGCCTAAATTTCTGAGGTTCTGTAAATACAATATATATGTCACATACCTCGTCCAATAAAAGTTTCTGTCATTCCGAACGTCGTCTCTTCCAGTCCAACTTTTCTTGTTTGCCTCAGTATGCGAGATAGATTCAAGTGATCAGTCTGTCTTATATTGTTGTGTTCTAGAGGGGCATTCTAGTCAAGTTAGACGAACTTGAATACCAGCAAGTACCCTTCCGTTAATAATAAGTATATTAAAACCTCGTTCATCATATATGCCTCACAACGATGACTTTTTTTCATTACAGCTTGATTCCACACTGTATTTTTGGTACAAGTATGGAATTTTCAGCATGGATATCGGTAGTCCAAATTTTGCAGGCCGACCATAGATATCAGGTGTGCGTCGGCAGGGGATCGAACCTCGGACCATGTACATGGTCGGCGAGAGTCCTAACCACTGTGCCACCGACGTACACATCTTAGTTGTTGAATGGTTAACACTGATGTTGATATTAACGATAAAACAAAATTACGATGATGTGAACAAATAATTCTACTTCGTAAGTAGCGGTATGATTGCGTGTACAGACCTGTGGCTGAAAATCAAACGTCAACATCATCGGTGTGAATTTATTCAGAATATGATTCAAGTTTACCAAAAACCCAACTAGTCACAAAGAGAGAGCTTGAACACACTCGTGTAAACAAGACGACAGCACGTGGCAACACCATTGTCTGCACATTTATTACTTCGATAACACATCAAGACACTATACAGTGATTCTTCACAGGTTTGATCACGAGATGACACAAGTCAGAGTACCATTAGAGAACCATGGAGTAGTGGGTAGCTGTTTCTTCCTAGTTGGGGACTCTTCACGGCACGTACCCACTGGGGCTCGAACCTTTTAGTTACAGGGCAAGCTCGTAGACCCTTCAGTCACTGGTCCAGCTTGAACCAGCGACTCATGCATTCCAAAATATGCTAATTTGCGATACACGTAGCACGGAGACAGCCAACGGCATAGAAGAGTAACTGTTCGCCCACCTGACCGCGCTGGTTACTTCTCCCTAGTACTTCAGGTAACTTCCTGTATATATCCAATCGCTCGTAAGTATCGGATTAATTACCAAGTGTTGTATTTCAGAGATCTGATTGCCTACAGGTCTGACCACAAGCTGAAATCAGTTAGAGACCCACTAGAAAGCCAGAGATTACCGGAGAGCTGTTTCGTCCCAGTTTGGTACTCTTCATTACTAGGCAGCGGACGAACCCGTAACTAATCTGATCCCTGAAAACCAACACTTGATATAGTGATTCTGATAAACACCATTAAAATTTAGAAGTATCTATTACAGACTACTTCCCGAATTTCCAAGCGACAAACATTATTATATTGTTACAGAAAGCCACTAATGCAGCGCAATACTTCAGTCTCATTTAGTGATTATGATTCTTATTATTTCCTAGTTCAAAGACTGCTTTACTTATTGGGTGGGATACAAACAATATAATTATGAGAATTAGGTAGGGTCAAGTATTCAGACTAGTCTATAGTGAATTTGCCAGGAAGGAGCTAAATCAATAGAAGATATGACAATTTTGCGGTAAATAAGGAGAATTGGCGAAAAATACATCCTAGCAACCCCCCCCTCCGATTACGGCTCGTCACAAGTTTCAACCCATTAAGTTGCCATGCATGGTAAGCCTCCACCCAGCGCGTCAAGATATTCCTCAACGCCGAAAATGTATAACTTGTAAGTGTTGGTTTTCCAGAGATTTCAATTTTGTTCACAAACGAACATCAGTTAGAGAGAATCACAGCTGTTTCGCTTCTTATTCGGGACTGTTCATCAGCACGTACCTATGGCCCGTCAAGGATAGACAATTAATCTAGTGCACACTAGTGACTGCCTACAGGATAACACAGTGCCTGAAGTTCTAGTGGTACTTGTGGTTAGAGGGGTGCTAAGAAAAACACTCGCTAATGAAATCAGTTGGTAGTCACTAGTTAGAACTGATGGGCCATTGGATTCCATCCCAGTGACCAGAATGGCAGACCAACTGATCTTAGGTTCGACTCCTAGTGAGGTTATTAATTGCCTATTTTCAAAGAGTTCCAAATAAGGACAAAACAGGCATCCAATAGTACTCATAGGTTCTCTAACCGAAGTCAATTTATGTTCAAAATTGAAGGTATGTGTATAAACTGTAATATTTCACATATTAGTTTGTTTATTAGATGTATCACACAGTGAAACAACATATCTAATACATCTAATAAACAAACTAATATGGAATTACTTACTATCACAGTGCCCAAGTTTTACACATATGTAATATTTCACAACTAATCTATTTGTAAGTAACTAACAACATTCAAATGGTATACCAACATCAAACTTGATTGTCATTTACGTGAACAATTAAAATGAGACAAAGTCCAGAAAAAAAACAATTTTTATTTCAGTAGTTTTTGAAATAAACTCAACAAACATGTACATTTTATAAACAGTTGATAAGAAAAATGGTTTCATGGTTAAAATATACAAAAAATAACAAGTTTGATACATTTCTGAGGGTGAAATAAACAATAAGTTTATTGTCAGCGGAGCTGCATAAGTTCTTCTTGCAACTTGATCATCCTATCAAGATGACTTACACTTTTTGATGATGTTGATGAGGATGATGCTAGGGCTGAGGGGAATTTAGAAACTGATTTAGTCGTTGAAACAGTTTCACTTTGATTGGATGTTGATGTCAGTTGTCCAACATGTTCTCCACTGTAAGTGAGAGGTGTAGACGGCTCCGATGACCGAGATGAAAATGAAATCCCACTGTCATTACTTCGGTTAAACTTGGTTGAACGCTTTGAGGAGCATAAACCTTCATTGGCGCCTAAAAATAGGGAGGACAGGGGGGGGGGGAAACACAAAAGTCTTTGGTTAGCAATGATAAAGCAAATTGTAAATCCATATTAGATAAGTTAATACTGCATCACACAGCGATGCAGTATTAACAACTGGATGACGTCTCCAGCATAAATTATTGCTACTCAAAATCATATCAGTTTTAGTTATATAGTTTTAAAATGTGTCTTATATATATATATTTTTCTCCCTTTCTGTTCACCTAATTTCCCTGCTGAAGCGATATTGGGAGTGGAAGTATGTGGGCAGTTGTTACTTTTCGGCAGGCCACACCGTGGAGGAAGTTGATGTTTTCTTCGGGTACCTGAAGCAGAAAGAGAGTTGGTTTTGCGTGACCACAGAGCCCAAAGGACAACTGCTTGAGGCCGGTCACATACGGCCTGTATGAACTGGCTTCTAGGTTTGGTTCCGTATTAGTTAACTTACCGCCGGTTACGGACTACCATAAAGTAAACCGGGATGTAAAATTTTTGGAGTCAACCTTTTCTAATCCCCTCTCTCCAGAGTGGAGAGACAGTATAGCTGGCTGGCATGCTGGTCATCTGAGGGAAACAACTCACTGCTGTTACATCCCTGTTCCCCAGCAGTACGACTTCGCCCACAGACACCCAGCATAGTATTTAAAAGATTCTTACACTGAGCAGGTAACTGCTTATAATCTAATCTTTAAATATTCCCATTATTAATATTAGAACAAGACATAAGTAAACGATTTTGTTTTCAATTAGGTCTTCTTCAGGCTTTACTTTAATTTACATAGATTTATATATGAAAATTTTAACCAATGACGGTGATTTTGTAGATAAAATAATAATAATGATAATAGTAATGTGGTGAATGTTTTGAACGTCATTATTAACGATGATTATACTGATAACAAAATAATGATAATAAGGTTTATGCAGGTCACCATGAGAATAACGAAGGCAGTAATATGTGTGTATGTAGACAATTCAATAAATAAATTAGGTCAGACCTTGAAAGTTACGTAATACTAAAGGTGAAGTGGACAGATAGTCAGAGCTTAAATAAATATCATAAAAGTACGGAAGAAATGGTAAATAAGAAAGGGTGGGAGGGCTTTGATTAGAATTTACCTAGGTCAAGGGAGAGACAGACGTAGAACAAACTTCTTTTGCTGTATGCAAAGACTAGGATTGTCCTCTCGACTTCCCATGGCTTCGGCTATGTGTAAGAGGTGGGTTCGAATTTCGTTCGAAAGGCTCGATAGAATGCAAAAGACAACTTTGAAGGCACTACTTCTGTCCACTAGGTGACTGCTACCAATCAAATGGGTCAAAATAGAACTTCTTATAGATTTTATTTGGCCTTTTCCTAACCGTGAAGGAAGATGCTCATTAATACATTTGTTAAGCTGTCTAGTTGTTCGCCCTATATAGCTCTTTCCACAGGAGCAACTAATTTTGTAGATACACATAGAAGTGGCACAGCTAGGTAACTTGTCTTCCGCTTGAGCAATCATAATTGGTCGGCTAGAAATGACAAACAAAGGGTAGCGGCAGTATATGTCCGTTTTATTGCTCCCGATAATCTTAGATGTAAGACTTCACTAGCCACGTCCCCATTAAATTACAATTTTAGGAACAGTTGTTTCTTTTTAATTGTTGTCAGTTCCTCTTTATTATACCTGGTGTTCATGTGTCTCCTTACAAATCTACTAGGATAACCCATTTGGACAAGAGTATTTTGGATGTATCCTAATTCATTTTCTAGGGTCATCTGTACAGATCCGTCTTGCTCTACGGGTGAGGCATCTGACCAAATTGATTTTATATCGGATTGGTACAAAACTGAAGGAATATGCGTCTGTCTGTTTTCGATATAGAACTTTGCAGTTCAAGTCACCACACTCCTTCCTTGTAGCACAAAAAGAAAGAGAAGAAAGTAAAAAGAAATGCAAAACAGAAACAGTAAACAAAGATATGAGACAAAAGGAATAGCAATAACGAAGAACAATATAGTTTCAATAGAAATTATAAGTCACAATGAGTGGATGCACGTGCACCAGCCATTGAGGACGATGATTTTGAGTCACATCATCAACTGTCTCTAACCATTGGTTTTTACCGTCCCGAGGACCCCAACCAGGAAGTATACACCTTCCTACGTGGCTTAGACTAACTGTTGTAGATTTCATTGACTGGTGCCATGTTTTGGTTTGAATGTGCGTACCGTCCTACAGACATAGGTTTTCTATAGATATCTATCTTGAGTGAACCATCTCCTCTTCTGTTCAACAGGACATCAATGAAGTGTAGTCCACTACCACGTTCTTCTTCACAAGTGAAGAGGAGGGATAGATGTGCATCATTAAATTTTATTAACATTTCATTCTTGTCAGCTTTCTCACCAAGAATAATAAACGTAGCCTTGACACAACAAAAATAAGAATCCGTTTTATCTATTACTTGTTTCAATGGACCTTTTTACATTTTGATTTGTGAATAAGAAATAGAAGGAAAACTTAATGTTATTGGAAAAACAAATTAAGACTTTTTCCGTTCAAATCTCATCAGGGTCAACAGTTAGACATAACGCCTTTTTAATAATGTGTACACGCTCCCATAAAAGATCTGGGACGGCTGAGAATGGATAGACTCAAGTCTCAAGTTACATAGAGTGTGTTAACTCCAACTGCTGCACTTCTGTGCTAAGTTCTATGTTGAAACCAGTCAGTCAGTCGTGTAGGCACATGTTTACAGCTTCTACCAGGTAAGTTCTATTCACTAGGAGCGTTTGTCACAAAAATGAAAGGGCGAATGCGAGCGTCTGGCACTTAAAACCGAGAGGAGCTGAAAAACTGATTCCAAACCCATGGCATACACGGGGTCCAGAATCCGAACGGATCGAATGGCATTCGAACCTGTTCCAGTCACCAGTAATCACAGGAGCCCAGCGTCATTGACTTGTGGACCAGATTTCAGGTCAAAAGCTCGGGAGCTCACTCAGTAAGATAACCACACAGTTTGGTGTGGGAGTTCACACAATATCCCAGTACTCGAATAAACCATGGGATGTGATGCATTTTCTGTTACCCATAATATTCCAAGTTTGTTTTCACAATAATAATAATTTACACGTAAGTTAAAAAGACACTAGTAAGCATACTCAGAAATCAGTTAGAGCAATTACTCACATTAATAAGAACACCTCTGTGACATCGGTCTGGGTTTTTTAGTCGTTGATTAACATCAAACATCAACAGAAGGCTACAATGCTTTGAAATTAATTCAGTGACATTCGGTTACTTAAACTTCTGCTGCAACTAAAAATACGTGATGTGTGCACAATATTCCTCAACACTTAGTTGACGAAAAGTTATGAACTGATAAATTAATTTTTCTGCATTGGCTACGAGCTACAATCCAACAGCGCTTTGGCGCATATTGCCTAAGGTCTCCAACCAGCATGTGATATCAAATGTGGTACGATTTAACTGCAGCTTGAAAAACGTATTCCATTTCTAGTAACATTTGGAGTGCATGTAGTGTAACTGCATCTAGTCGCAAAGCTTTCATTCCTTCCGTGGAACATTTCTGTTCTGAAGTTAGGCCTTCAAATGTTCCCTAGGAAAATAATGAAAAGTCGATGGCTTTCCCCAGAATTCCTAACTTAATCAAAAAAAAAAAACTGTCATTGACAGAGATTAGTCGAGTGGAACTAAAACTCGATTATTCTTAGTACTTTAACTAACTCTTTTAGCAGTTATGAATGCCATCATAAGATTTTAAAAGAATATCCTGCCCAACTTCTTATTTGCTACACATTTCCTGATACCCGAATCAAGTTATTATCAAGAAAAATATTGAGAATGAGTCATGAAAAATTAGTGGATATTTAACGGACACCCCTTCGACAGATAATCTAACGAGATGTCACAGAACCACATGTGAATGTATAGTTGCCTCGCTTAGGCACTCAAATTGCATGTAGCATGTGGTTCACACTTTGATATGAAGAATCATTTGGCAGCTTTTCCATGTCTGATTCGGCTCATAGTACAGTAAAAACACCACGTTATTGACGTGATGTGTCTACTGTACTTGAAAAATGGAAGCCACGGCCCTAGACTTTGTCTTACTTGTAAGATACTGTTAAGTGGTCAAAAAAAGCACTCGATTCAGCTTCCGAATTCTACTGAGGTCATTTAAAATATACCACATGATTCCGTAAGAGCATTCAATTATTATGCAAAAGGAAGCCTAGTTACCTGACACTAAAAAGGATAATACTTTCTAAAACTCACCCATTTACAACCATTAAAAACGCAACTTCACTGTTCCACATTAAGCTTGAAAGTAATTTACTTTTGTTAGTAGACTTCAGAACATTGAGACAGGTGGCTTTGACTGTTATTCGCAGACAGAGTTTCAGCAGAATATTTCACGTCAGTTAAATAAGGTGATTTTTTCAAATAACCAAGCATGTTTTACACCTAGAAGTAAGATCTAAATCCAAGGATACTTAAAGTTATTTGCCTCTCTGTGATCCTCATTTTTCTCCGTACACCATTCTAATTTTTTGGTTAGGAAGGATTTATATACTTAATTAGTTTAAGTGGGAACAAAGAACAAACTTAGATGAATGCCTGGACCACATAGTAGTTGAGATCAATGTATCATTAGAAAATGACAACTGAATTATCAAGGTTAAAACTTCATGAGTTCATCATATCACGTTGCTACACTTCATAGAAGCATACATAAAGGTAGAAAAAAGACATGTGACAACGCTGTGGTGAACGCAAAAGAATAACTACATGAAAAAGAATGTGAGATTTCTTAACTCAGAAAATCATAAGGAATGAACACATCTATGCCATTGAGGGCGATGAGAAAGCATATCACCAACAGTTTCAAACCATTAGTTTTTAGCATTTCGAGGAACTCAGATAGGTAGTTGGCATATCCCGACATGGCTTTTACCAGCAATCAGACTTCATAGATCAGTACCACGTATTGATCTGACCGTACCTCACTCTTTTACCAAGTAACGTCTGTAATTGTAACCTAATGCCATACACTGTCTCACACCTCTGCTCACTGTTTCTATTATGCTTTTCTTGTACTTTCTTCTCTTGCTTCGCGTGCTACACGGAATGTGGCGACTTGAACTTCCGCACATTTGTGCAAAGTTCTATGTCGAAAACAGACAGACAGACAATGCCATACACCTTGTGACCAGTAAGGTTCATACAACCGTAAGAAACATGTTTACCGCTTAGCCTGGTTAAACATTAAGTATTACTATTACTTAAGCACTTATAAAAATAAAGCTCAGTTACACCAGTTTAAGAGTGCGTCGGTGGCATAGCGGTTAGGGCGCTCACCGACCATGCACGAGGTCCGCGGATCGATCTCCTGCCACCAACGCACTCCTTTACCTCGCTAAGCCAGAAATAATGCTGGTAAAGAGGAAAGGTTGGGCATGAGGCTAGCAACCCTATCCTGTAAAATAAACACTGCTACCGAAACTTTAAGCCATTAGCTTGGAGCCCTATGTTCCACTGGGGAACGTGAAGGAATAGAAAAACCCACCAATTTAAGAACTTAGGGAATAGATAGATAGTTATGGAACTGTTTGCAATTTATCCATCTATTTTATGCAAATCCATTTATTTGGATTAACATTATCACCAGTGGGAAAGAAACAGGGTGAAACAAGTGAAAATTTCAAATGTAAAATCTTGATAGTTTCATGTAGGTTTTACAAATATGTGCGGACAATATGTTTCGGAATGGTTGACTTACATCTATTCATATCATCTGCCAAATAACGAGGCAGCATATAGTTGTTCTGAAACCGGTTATTAACAGACGTTTCACACATGCCTGACTGCATCGAAAGGGAGTCAGCGGATGTAGCACTTAAAGGCACTCTGTCCACTTCACTTCTGCTACTTTCACCGAACAGTTCATCCATAAAACCTTGTACTGTCTGAGATTCTTCAGGTTCATCAACATATTCGTTCTTAAATACTGGAGATATATTTTAAAAAATAATTATGATAAAACTTACATGATAGTTCCAATTCAGTGTACGACGAGAAAGGATATGAACACTGAGTCGAAGAGCATACATTGCTTATTAAACCTACTGGCGATATGACTTTAAATAAAGGTACTGAACGTCCTGAACGTGAACATTCTGGACAAAATTCCATCTCGTGTTGTCTGATCACCATCCAGATATATAATTCCCGCTTGATCAACGTCCAACAGAGTTGATGCAGCGCATCGAACGAACACAAGATTTTATTCTTAAAAGGCCTAAATATCATTATTTCAATGTATAAAAATATTCTAGCAACCTAATAAACTGTTTAAGAAAAAAGCTGTTTAATCATTTGATTCTGAAAGCCGCCATTGCCAGGAAAATTTATGCACAGATTTTATCAAGAGAAATTCTCATATAATGTGGTAATCATATCCTACGCTGGTTTCAGTCACTCACAGGGAATATTTACTCCACTTTCATACCACATGATATTTGCCACGATTAACCGGCCTTCAGTAATTTGGAATACGTGAATGACTAGCTGAATAAAGGGCCCTGAATTTCCTATTGATTCTTCTCACTGCTGGCATTTTTCAGTGGCACTATTCTGGATCCAGTTAATCTACTATGTCAAGTGTTCAGCTTGCACACCTTCAATATTCATATTTGGCCTCAAATAAAAAATTGACACTTTCCATTGAGGGATTGTCTGAAATTAAGAGAAACCATTAGCAAATGGGTGAGTGTGTGAGGCACGCTCATGAAACACTTTTCAGTAGTGCGACAGGCCTCATCGTGAGCTCTCATACCGAATTCGTGGTTTCCATGTGTGAAACTGTCCTCAGATAGCTAATTCAACTGTTCGGCTCTCAGAGTCTCTGTATCAACCTATTTACATTCTACTTGTAAATGGTGGTTTGTGACCTTTCTCCAGGGAGTTGGCAAGGTAACTGAGTTCGTCTACAAGTGAGATCCTACGCGTATGCTCCATATTGTTTTGAACATATCTATAACTAAATGATTTAGCACTCATGATAACAGACCAGGTTTTTTATGTAGTTTATCTTCCTGTGGTGGACAACGCACGGATAAGTAAGGAGTGTCAACCAGATGCGTTTCTCGGTGTTCTACTAAAATTGTGGTGGATAATAACGCCGTTCACCGAAATTTTTTTTGCCAATGTTTGAACTAGTGGGATATACATGGCTAATATCGTTTTACTTAAAAAATGGTGCATCAAGCTAAGTTTACAATCCAAGAAAAATACAATAAGTTAATTATCTAAAATCATATACATGTTCCGGATGTTTTCCTTGATTGTCTGTGCATCTGTCAAGAGCGGTCTAGAATAACACACTCGCATGCGGAATGGTGTTATCTGATTGGTTATTTTTCGAGATGAGTGACTGCATACGAAGAGAGCTGAAATTTTCGCATCATCTCTGCTTCTAAAAAATTGGTATGACAGGTCACTCTGTTCACCAGTAGTGTCTAAATCCTGTCACAGCCAACAGGCGTTTGAATGAAAATGAGAGCGATAAATGCGCTAGTCAGTCGTTCCCTGTTCCAGCCTTACTCATTATTGCGCTAACTTAAGTTAATATGTGATCAGGTGTAGGCACAATACTCTTCTTTTGTTATTTGAAAAGTGTAGGGGACAACCGTGCCACCAAGGTCTAGTGCATTGGATAAAGGAATCAGTTTTCTGTGTGCTTATCACGTCTAATTCACTTCATTATACATTTAGAATGGCAGCGAAAGGGTAAACCAGCTCGAAATCTTTCTTATTATGGAAATGACCTAGAACTAGCGTCCCGTATGAATTACAGCCCTTTATATCTGGATTGTGCTGATTGTTTGCAATTTTTAACTAGTTAATGCCACTCCTTAAAAGTCTATCTTGAGGCCATGCAGTTTCACAACTAGCTTTCGGCATCTGAAATCAAATGCATTCATTGAGCGTCTTTAGAAAATATGAATAAGTGTATACACTAGGACCGATTTATATGTTCATCATAGCGTGCTATGATTCCACACGTTTCAATTTTTTGTAATGCATTTGTCAGCCGTTTCTCCAAACATATGAGACCAGGAGTAACTCCACTGATTTATTACCCTAGTGTTCTGTCTTAGGCAGATGATAGCTCAAGAGTTCAACAGCTACCATCATGCCATCCAATGCACATTGGAATCACAGATGAATTCGGATTTCCATTTTATGGATTTTTCTAAAACGGAGATCTGATGGTTCTCTCTAGAAACCAATCTACAGGAAACCAACATGGAGTGATCAATACACAAGTTTTCGTTGTTGGATCGCTTTGAGAAGAAAGAAAAACCTGATCCACCCCTTATCCTCACGAATAGGGATATGTCCGAGAAAAAAACATGAAGTTGAATCAAAAGCCTGAAATAACCCAGGTGGTGCCGAAGAAACTGCTATTTATGAACGCTGATTTTAAAGGCAATACCACAGCTGAGATCCTGAAAAATTGATTATGCAGATCACTGCGGAAAGCCTTTGCCAATGTAGTTGAAGATTGAACGATCAATTCATCATTGTTTGCTCAAAACCAACTTCCCCAATTTTCGCGGAGGCATCAATACGACAGTCATCGTCTCATCGGTCGCTGTTCAGAAAGAAGTCAGCAGTGAACCGTCAGAAGTAATATTGTGATTTATTATTGTAATATTTGTTCACAGACCCTAGTAAAAACATTATTTTTATATGTTGGTGTAACAATAAAGAATCCTCGAGTGGCCAATCGGTCTTTTGGTTTTTTCGTCCGTTATTACTAAGCGTTCTTGAAAAACTGCAAGGAACAGTGTGGGCCCGAGCGTAGCAAGAGCCGGGCATTAACGGTTTACGAGACGTGACTGACAGAGGTATTGCACTGGAGTTGCTGCAAGAGCTATACAGTGTTGTAAGTTTATGAAGCCAAAAGAGGGCTACTACGAGGCTATGAGCATATTACGTCAAAGGTTTGGAAGACCTTCGATGATTGTAAGGAACGTATACGAAGCTGTCAAAGGTAACGGCAGTCAGCTTCAAGATGACTCCAAGGCACTTACTGAATTTTTAGATAATCTTATGACTTATAAGAATACCTTGATTTCGATGAATTGCATGAGTGACCTCAACTCGAGTTCTATACAAGAAGTAATAGCAAGATGCCTACCTACTCGACTGCAAAGGAAGTGGGTGAAGATAATCTACCGCATGGAGGATGAGGGTATCGAGCCAAAGTTTGATGATATCCTGAAACTAGTAAAAGATAGCGTCAATCTATCTATGAGCAAGTTCGCCAGTATATTGCATCTCACCCCTAGAATAGAGCAGTCTGAGAGCGAAATGCAATCATTGATGACGAGTAGGTCTAAGAGAGGTGGATATCGAGAAGGCTCCATGATGTATAGTAATGCATATAGACCTAGTGAGTGTAACAGGTTTCGTAGTACATCCTCAACAGATGAGTTACAAGATGCAAGACAAGCACGGTTGTGTTTTACACGTTTGCAAGAGGTGCATACAAAGGTGAACTGTGAACCAGTGAGCAAGTTCAGTGATAAGCTCAATGTAAACTCCAGGCCTGACTCCGAATTGTGTGACGATAACGGTGCGGTCAAGTTGCTCCAAGTCAGTGAGTTTATGGTTAAGATATCATTTTAGTTACATGTACTGAACTATATTGCATGCTGTCTTATTGTATAGTTGTCGTCGCTTTTTGCCCTTTTTTCTGTGAACTGTTTCCTTTGTTGACGTTGTTCTCATTGTTTGTCCGTTATTTTCTGATTTTGAGGGGAGCAACCCAAAAAGTTGCTTCTCTCTAAACTTTTACTCAATGTAATCATTCTTTTCTCAGGCGTGAGGCTAGCAACCCCACCCTGTAAACAAAAATTGCTACAGAATCTTCAGTATGCTGAACTCCTTGCACCAAAAGAAAAATATAAATATAAACGGTGCGGTCAAGAAGTCTGTAGTTGCAACTGGTAAGCCATTGTTGAATAGAGTGCCACAGAATAGAGTTACTGCTTCAGAGTGGAGTTTTGACTCCACAAGTTTACGAGGTGTTACTAGTAAGAGTGAAGATATAAAACCTTTAATGATTTGCGAGGAGGAATCAAAATTGTCTACTTCTGTTATTAAAGAGTTTCAAAATGATGAAGTTGACGGTAAAGTGAATATTCGTGATAATGATCATGATACTTCACAGTTGACTTTGGTTGATCATGATGAGATGATAGATATGCCTACTACTGCGAAGTTGAACAAAGTATCTGTACAACATGAATATGAAGTGGAATTAAATGCAGATGCAGTCCCAGAAGGCAGGCAAACTTGTGAGACCGTCAGTGTGAGTGATCAGCATGTAGCCCACCTATCATCAGATGATAGTGCTAAGCTTGAGCTAATAGTAAAAGACAGCAGTGGAAGTAGTCTTGTAGTTAGAGAGTTTACTGAAAGCCGAAAAAGAACAGCTTCTGATCCACCGCTAAGTTCCTCAACTAGTATCAATCAGTCGTCGTTGGTGTTGTCATCCACAATGAAACAGTCGCCTATCAACTCAAGTATCTTCTGCAATGACTATGATAGTATTGGTGCATTTGAAAGGACGAAAGATATTGCTCAGTTTAGAGAGGATAAGCCAAGTGTAAACGAAAGAGTAATTGTTAAATTGACTGGCATGAATAAAGGCATTTCTAGTTTCAAGCTACTATTTGAATGTTATTATCTTTGGTGTACATTACTCTGTTTCTATACTTGGTTGATGAGATACGTCGTGTGTTTGTTGGTCATCTATATTCTACGATACAATGACATGGGCGTGTTGCCGTTCAGATTTGAGGATATAGCTGATAGAGGGAAGTCAGCATATGAACTCTGCGACGGTTTTCCAACCTAGAGCGTCAACCTGAGAAGGGTTGTAGGCGTACTGGTGTAAGTCCTACAGTTCTTCAAAGGGTAGCGCATCAATGAGCGGTCCAATGTGCTTGGTGTATGATCTTGTACATATGTTCATATTGTATATACTGAATTGATATCATCTGTCATCTAGCTGTTGGTAATACTGTTTGTGTCCGGACGACTTCCACTTGGATCATCAACCTGAGAAGGAATGTAGGTGTACTGCTGTAAGTCCTACAGTTC